AAAAACATTTTCTTTTCATATGACTCAATCTGAAAAAAGTCTTTGAAAAAGTATTTTTGTCCATTTACTTTTGAATAAGTCATTATTTTAGTCACAAATAGTATTTATTTATATCATTTGGTATTTATTTATACCAAATGGTATTTTTTTATACCCTTTATTAGCAAATACAGTTCTTATGATATGGACATGAGCTGAGTGCAGCCTGTCATTTTATAAGTTTCTGATTTATAACTCTCTTTAAATCATCTTTTTGTTAGAAACCAGCCATTATGGTCAGCAATTTGCATAAAGAATATGATGACAAGAAAGATTTTCGTATAAGAAAAGTAAAGAAAGTGGCAACTAAACACATCTCCTTCTGTGTGAAAAAAGGCTGGTATTAATTATCTTTTTCTTAAATAATGTTTCCAGAAGAGTAATTTCCATTTTTAATTTGATTTACATTGTGATGATTTTTCTTTCAATTCCCTTAGGAGAGATCTTGGGACTGTTGGGCCCAAATGGTGCAGGCAAAAGCACAGTTATTAATATCCTGGTTGGTGATATTGAACCAACTTCTGGCCAGGTATGATATACAAAGGTGTGGGACATGTTTACTGTGATTTATATTTTTAATTAAGATAAATTTCTTAATGACAAATTAGGAGTTTGAGTTTAAATTTTATATTTTTTAATATTAAATTTTTATTATAAAAATTGTGATCTTTTGGGCTATCTGTGAAAATAATGTACATAGTAAAATTTTCATAACATACATACAGACACATAGACAGTATTTCTGCTTTTATAATTATTATACTACGTGCATGGGTGATTTGTCCACCAACTGAATGAAAGACAGTGGTATTAATTTGAGGAGATACAGGAGCTAACCTTGACCCTGCCATTGATTAGTCTTTGGTTATACTACTTTCTGGAAAGTTCACAAAACTGCTCCTCTTCCTCCTCTCCCCTTTGCTTACTTCACACCAACCACACTGGCTCATTGCTTTCCTGGAAAATGCCAGGCACGCGCTTTTCTTTGGGTTTTTGTCTTAGCTGTTCCTTATGTTAGTTATTCCTTACCCCGTAGAAATCCAAATGACTACGTTTGCTTACCTCCCTGCCCCAAATATCAGCTTCCAATGAGACCCCTGATCATCCTAGCTAAAATTGAGACTGGCTTTCTCAATCAATGCCGCATTCCTGATCACCCTTCCTGGCCATGTCACTGAACTCTGTTTTTGCCATGTGTGCTTTTTCTTCATCAAAAGCATTAAAAATCTGACCTGATATTACCCTACCTCTAGGAAGGAGTTTGAAGTAATTCACTTGCCACTTCTCCTTTATAATGTAAATTAAGCAAAAATAGTTACTTAAAGTTGATTTGTATTTTTGTAGGTATTTCTAGGAGATTATTCTTCAGACCCAACCGAAGATGATGATTCCATTAAGTGTATGGGATACTGTCCTCAGATAAACCCATTGTGGTCATATATTACATTGCAGGAACATTTTGAAATTTATGGAGCTGTGAAAGGAATGAGTCCAAGTGACATGAAGGAAGTCACAAATCGGTAAAATTAAAAATTTTTTTGTTACCTGGGGAAAGGTTTACATTTCACATTTAAAAAATTTCATAACAGGTGTGAGAAAATGGTCATTACTTTTTCATATATTCTTTACCGAATTATGATAACTATGAAAATAAAAAGATAATTTTTCTATTTCTAATTACAGAATGAATATACCTATAATTGTCATGAAACGTAATTTAAAGTGAACCTTTTCATCAGATAATTTGTTTAAAATGATATAAATTGGAAGTCTAATTGTAAGCTTCAACAGAGTGTTCTAGAAAAGAGAATGTCAATGATCACAGTGAGTATAATACACTCATTTTGTATTGTCTCTTTTGCAGAATAGCAAATGCACTTGATTTAAAAGAACATCTTCAGAAAACTATAAAGAAACTACCTGCAGGAATCAAGCGAAAGGTACTTTTATTAAACCACAAATATGTGTATGTTTTATTGATGGTTTAGTGCCTGATACTGTTATGATAAAATTCCTTGTATTGAAGCATTCCCCCCACTCCATTTTCTTTCCATCTAGTTGTGTTTTGCTCTAAGTATGCTGGGGAATCCTAAGGTTACTTTGTTAGATGAACCATCTACGGGTATGGACCCCAAAGCCAAACAGCACATGTGGTAAGTANAAAAAAAAAGATTCGGTCTTGAGCTATTCCGTATTCTTCTTTCAGCCTTACCTGCAGTGTGTACTATGGATTTTCCTCTTACAGCACTATGAGAAAAAATATGGAGGTAGATCAATAAGAAAGGATCCCTTTTTCAGGTCAGTTAATTTTCTTTTTTCTAAGTTCAATGTTTTTTAGTGTATTTACAGAGTCGTGCAACTATTACCATAATCTAATTTTAGATCATTTTCATCACCCCCAAAGGAAACCTTGTACCCATTAGTAGTTAGTTCCCCATCCTTCCTGCCATACCTCATAGCCCTATATAACCACTCATCTACTTTGTGTCTCCAAATAATAGATTGGCCAATTTTGAACATTCATATAGGTGGAATTATACAATATTTAGTCTTTTTTTGTCTGGTTTGTTTTACTTAGCATGTTTTCAAGGTGCACCCATGTAGCATGTATTAGTGTTTCATGTATTAATTTCTTTTTTTTCTGCTGAGTAATATTACATTGTATGAATATACTGCACTTTATCCATTGATAAGTTGATGGACATTTGAGTTGTTTCCACTTTTTGGCTATTATAATAATGATGCTATGAATATTTGTGTACAGTATTTGTGTGAACATATATTTTCATTTCTCTTGTGTGGATACCTAGGAGTAGATTTGATGGGTCACATGGTAACTCTGTTTAACCTTTTGAAGAACTGCCAGACTGTTTTCTAAAGCTTTTTCACTATTTTACAGTAGTCTTCTCTTATCTACAGGGGATATGTTCCAAGAACCCCAGTGGATGCTGAAATTGTGGATAGTACCCAACCCTATATATACTGTTTTTTTTGCCCTATACATAAGTATCTTTTCACTTAATGGAAGCCCTTTATGGCTTCTCTTTGGCATGTCTGAATTGCCAGCATCACTATTCTTGTGCTTTGGGGCCAAAGCACTGTGATACTGAAATAGTCCATCTGATAACTGAGGGCTACTCAGTGACATAACGAGTGCTGGACAAAGAGATGATTCAGGTCAGGCGGATAGAGTGGGACAGTTCAAGATTTCATCATGCTAATCAGAACAGTATGCGCATCTTTTCATGTGCTTTTTGTCCAGTTTCATATTTTCTTTTGAGAAATGTGTTTGAATCCTTTGCCCATTAAAAAAAAATTGAGTTATCCTTCTATTCTTGAGTTGTAAGAATTCTTTATATATTTTGGATATAAGTGTCTTATCGGATAGATTATATGATTTGAAAATATTTTCTCCAAGTCTGTGCATTTTCTTTTCACAGAGTATTTTAAATTTAAGAAGAATTATTTATTGAAATATAGCTATTGGTACTAAGTTGGTTTTGAATTTCTTTTTTATATTTCTTACATATTTATTTATTTCCTG